CCCGCGGCCACAAGCGTCCCCGCGCGACTACAGAAGAACAAGATGCACCCCCGCGCCGCCGCCTGCGCAGCGACGGCCCGGCGAGCGAATGAAGAAGAAGGAGATTGCTAGTCTCTACGTATGCGAACTCTGTGTAACAACGAAGATAACGCGAAACACGTTCATTTATATATTAGCCCGATATCTTGGTATCTAAATCGACTCACTTCAACAACAACAACAACGATGTCAACATCCGGGTTGATGATCGACCGGCGCGTGCATGTGGTGCCGCTTAGCTGTGCCGCTTAACAGCTGGACGCTTTACGCCTGGGATGCTGGTACACCACGTAAACGTTCCTACCAGGATAACGAGCTCTGCTCTTTGTGCCTTGCGTGTCTGCAGACACGCAAGGCACAACGAGGAGATCTGATAGCGCGGTCGTGTAATTGTATTCTGCACATCGCAGCGATACCCCAATGAGCTCTTGGCCAGAGTTGCGGTATCTTGTTTTTTGTATTGCGATGAACGCGCTCCAGCTCTTAACACAAGATTATTTCCAGCTGCTGGTAGCTTCAAGCAATCCTGTGCAGAGTCCAGCGTCCGTCGATGGCATGCCAGGAACCCATGTATGTACGAAGGGGCATCGGCTGCAGGTGCGTCGAGCGGCGGATTTCAATGCCGAAGCGACGCAGACAAGACCTTTCAGCGCAACAAAACTTGATTGCCAAATGGTCGAGTGCAAGGATGCTTTGTGTGCACCCGCGACCTCGTGGTTGCCCGGCGTCCGTACAGTGGTAGTGCCCTTTTCGGAGTTCCCAGCGACCTCCCAGGGCGTTGAATTGGGTTGTGACTTCGTCCACGTCGCAACGCCGCATTTTGAATTTGCCCATGCGCTGGACGTCGCTGGTGCTGATCCTCCTTGCGGTCGTCGAGCGAGCGCTCGGTGGCTGCGCGTACGCAGACTTGAACTTGCCGGCAAATGCGTTCATTTTGGCGGCCGACAGCTCGTGCATCAGCACGCAGCCTGTCTGCGCTCTCCGACCCAACTGCACCGTCTACAGCTCATTCTCGACCAAGTCGAACAGCTTCGCGTATTTGGACGCGATTGGCGACCTCAGCGGCTACACCCAACCCAACCTGTACAATGACGTCACCGTTCTGTATGCAAGCTAACGCGCTATGCAGAACGGTCAGCAACGCGTCGTATCTCACGCTCGCCAAGATGAATCTGCCATCGACACTGACCAACTTGTTGGCCGCAGTTGCAACCCGGTGCCTCACACGGTGCGCCTTGGTAGGACGCTCACCAACATCACGGCGAGAATCGACCTCGGAGCGATCGCAACGACGCAGTGGAGCTCGCTCCAGGGCCTGTACGTACCGCCACAACAACTACCGTGCCATCGCATCGCTGTAGAACGTTCTACTTGTCGACCATCAAGATTAGCAACGGCATCAATTGGCCGCCATCGCTTCGATTTGTGTGGGTGCCATCCAAGTCCTCGTGTGCTGACTCTGCTATAGCGTGTTCAAAGGTACCGACTTGGTCAACATCCCCCAAGGCTTGCCGTCGACGGTCCAGTCCTTGTACGTGCGACGACAAGCTGTACCCGAGGCAGTGAGCATCGCGTTAGAGCCTTTCAAGCCAACCAGCTCACGGACCTCAACTACCTCCCGCCCAATCTGACGTTCCTGTACGACGAGACGACAGGACTGGGAGCTCATCTGCTGTAGCAACCTCGACTCGAACAAGCTTCCGTCCATCACCGACCGCGACTGGAGAGCGCTTACCTTTCTGTTGCACCATGCATCCTTGCCGACGGTCTGTTGACGATCGATGCTAGGCGTCTCTCGAGCAATGCGCAGCTGGCGTCGATCGCGCGTGTCCAGCTCTCCACCAAGCTCATCTATTTGTACGTGAAGGTTGCAAGAAATGAAGGTGGACAATAGTGTCTTGTGTAGTGACATGAGAAAATGCCCTCTCTTGACCAACATTACGATCGACGCAAGTACGTTTGCGGCGCTCGACGCGCTCCCCAACGCCGGCGACGCCGACAAGGACGCCGTCTACCGAGGTTTTGCGGTCAACAAACACATCTCGACGGATGCCACCGCCTGCTCGGCCGTCAACGGCACGATCCAGCGGCTCTGGAAGTTCACAAGCAAGCACGTTGTCGACGTCTGCGTCCTGCCGGTGGCTCCATCGACAACGACTCCTCCAACGACAACGATTCCTCCCGTTGTCACGGTATCGAGTAAGCCCGAACCCATGCAACATCACCTTTTTACGCTTTCAGTAGACACGGGCCTCATCATCGGTGTCGTCGTCGGCGGTCTCGTCGTTCTCGGCGCCATCGTCGTCTTTGTCATTTTGAAGCGCCGTAAGGTTATACAGCCGCCGCCCACACCCACCTACCATCGCTTCGAAGGCGGTGACAACACTGACACCGTTAACAACGGCCGCACGCTCGGCAC